GGACGGGCACGAGCCACCAGTGCCACTGTCCCCGGGGCCTGGGGGGCTCAGGGAGACCCAAACCAGAGCCTGGCACGCCACCTTACCAATCTGCTCAGCCTCGAAGTCGGGTGCATAGAACCACACCACGGGCGAGACGTGCTTGGCTATCCCAGACTCTGGGGGGAGCAGGGGTGGGCTCAGGGTGCTGGTGTCAGCCACAGGAGGATGCCTGGAGCTCCTCATGCCCCCCCGAGACCCGGATCCCTGCAGGGCCAGGCACAGGCTCCTGCTGGGCACCGGGCACAGTGCCTGCCAGGGCCCAGGGGGATGGGAGCTGCTGAGACCCCCGGCTCGGGTGCCACCACCGCCATGCCCATCCTCTCACCCCGCAGGGCTCCCACGCTGATCTTCCTCAGCATGTCATCCCACATGAGCGCCCGCAGCCCCCAGTACTGCGTGGAGATGAAACCCAGCACCTCCTTGATGTGATTCAGGTACATGGTCCCCGTGTCGCCCTTGTTGCGGCTCATCCAGTTCTTGGAGTCCATCCCCTCCCCGAGGTGGAAGACCTGGATTAGGGTGACAGGCGGATGCTCTGCGCTCCTGGGAGCACCCCTGGTGCCCGGGGTGAGGGCTGGGGTCCCTGCACAGCCCACTGCCCACCTCGTCCGCGCCGATGTGGATCCAGGTGGAGCGCCTGTGCTTCTCCATCACCTGAGACAAGATGCTCTTGAGCAGGGCCAGGGTCTCTGGGACATGAGGGTTGAAGCTGTTGGGGAAGCGCTCGACCTCCCGCAGGTGCTGGTACTTCTCGTGCTTGAGGATGAACTGCACAGGATGAGCCGTCAGGGAGGGCTCCAGGGGGATCCCCCGTGATGTAGGATGAGGAGCAGGATGGGGACCCCTCACCTCCACGTGCCCAAAGGTCTGCACCAAAGGAACCACCTCCAGCTTGTGGAGCTCCGCCAGCTGCTGGATCCGCTCGATGTCCTCCTCGCTGGGAGGGCAGGGACAGGCTCACCAGGGGATGCCAGGGCAGAGGGCAGAGCTGAGGGCACTCCCTCCTCCTTCCCCTTCTCCTCCTCTGGCATCCTGCCCATGTGGCCCCAGGCCTGTGTGGACTTTACTATGGGGACGCAAATATTGACCCGGCGGGGCAGGACGCTGGTCTGCTGGCAGCACTGCCTGGCACTCTGACCATGGTTATCGTGGGCATGGGTAACACCCAGCCCCTGGCACACGGCCCCTGAGGCAGCCCCACAGCCAGCCCAGCACATGGCCCCAGCTCACCTGTAAGCGTACGGGGACTTGAGGATTTCCAGCTCCCCCTTGAAGGGGAACATGTCCTCGTACTCAATGAGGATCCCGTTGGCTCCCAGCTGAGAGAGGAGGGGGAAAACCTGCAGGGCGGGCAGGGTGGGCTCAGCTGGGGGGGATGGCACGGTCCCCACGGCCCGGCAGGGACCCCCCCCAGGGCGAACCACCGGCCCCGGCTCCAGCCTCTGCCCCCTCGTCACGTCCCTCCCCAGCCCCTCCCCCCCATCCCTGGGCATCCTCACCTGCTCCAGGTAGGAGACCCTGGGTGCAGCTCCCTTGAGGTCCAGGTGGACCAGCCTCATTTCAGTGGCACTGACGTCCCTGGGGACCTGCTGCCCAGGCTCCTGCCTCGGCGCCGTTATCTTTGCTGCAGAGAGCTCCAGAGCCTGGCTCTGGGGGCCGGCGTCCTGCCCGGTGTCACCTGAGTCCCTCCAGAACTCGCTGTCCTTGCTGACGTGCTTGTGCAGCTCCAGGGTAAAGCTGCAGGGAGTGGAGCAGGGCTGGAGGTGCCCTGGAGCACCAGCTGTACCCCAGCACCAGCCCCTGTATGGGTGCAACTCAGGGGGCACCCCACAGACCCCAACCCTGCTGGGCCCCCCCAATACCTGAGGTCCCAGTGTCACCTCACCTGTCACGGAAGAAGAACTTGATGCCAGCCAAGGCCACGAGGAGCAGCACGACGAG